TGTGAACATCTGTACGATAACCAAAGTAAGGGAGACATAGATATTATAAAAAAAACAACTGTTGATGCAATATGGAAAAAAAAATGGGTGGAGGAGATTAATCCTAAACCCAAATTGAGAATCTTTTGTTTGATAAAGGGTGAATTTGTGTGTGAGATATATATTATGTATAACCTACCTTAAAGCAAGAGATCGCTATGTGCACAGGTAAGATCAGGGATATTGCCTCTGCGTATTGAAACAGGTCGGAATTGTGGTGAAATGGAAGATGAAAGACTATGTAACTATGTTGACCTCGAAGAAATAGAGAATGAAACTCATTTTATCCTCTATTGCCCTTTCTATGACGATATACGCTCTTATTCCAGAAAGCACACCAGATATACCCTGGCATGATGTGGCTGAGCCATGAGGAGACTCTGAAATGGTTTTTTGTCCATTGTGTATTTCCATTTACGGAATATTTAGATAAAGCCTGGAATAAAAAATACAGGACTACCTATAATTAAATGACAAAGATATTTAGCTTCTATGTGGGAAATGGCACGTGTGTGCCATAGATTGTGTATAGTCTTGTCTCCCACATGAATCTTCTCTTGGTGCCAGACTGGGTTGAAATGCCTTCTGTTTCTTTTTTCTGTATTTATTTATCTGTATATGTTGTGTATGTATGTATTTATGTATGTATGTATGTATGTACAGTACCAGTCAAACGTTTTAGAACACCTACTCATTCAAGGGTTTTTCTTTATTTTTTACTATTTTCTACATTGTAGAATAATAGTGAAGACATCAAAACTATGAAATAACACATATGGGAATCATGTAGTAACCAAAAAAGTGTTAAACAAATCCAAATATATTTGAGATTTAAGATTCTTCAAATAGACACCCTTTGCCTTGATGACAGCTTTGCACACTCTTGGCATTCTCTCAACCAGCTTCATGAGGTAGTCACCTGGAATGCATTTCAATTAACTGGTGTGCCTTCTTAAAAGTTAATTCGTGGAATTTCTTTCATTCTTAATGCGTTTGAGCCAATCAGTTGTGTTGTGACAAGGTAGGGGGGGTATACAGAAGATAGCCCTATTTGGTAAAAGACCAAGTCCATATTATGGCAAGAACAGCTCAAATAAGCAAAGAGAAACGACAGTCCATCATTATTTTAAGTCATGAAGGTCAGTCAATTTGGAAAATTTCAAGAACTTTGAAAGTATCTTAAAGTGCAGTCGCAAAAACCATCAAGCGCTATGATGAAACTGGCTCTCATGAGGACCGCCACAGGAATGGAAGACCCAGAGTTACCTCTGCTGCAGAGGATAAGTTCATTAGTTACCAGCCTCAGAAATGGCAGTCCTGTTACTGTATGTGTATATACAGTATACAGTGTGTATGTATGTGTGTATGTATGTGTATTATTTTACTGCTCTAGGGATATAATTATTGTTTGGATAACCTTATTTACTATTATGTATAGATTTTTACCTTTTAAATTGTTTCACTCTTTATGCGATGTGAACTGCAGAGAACACCGGAAGAAGAATGATCATTTAATTATCACTGAATTATTGTAATGTTTGTTTATGTGTCAATCCCATAAGGGATGGGTTGCCAACTGGCGATTTGACACGAGAAAAAAATAAACATTCATTAATTTCATTCATTCATGTAGGCCGTACTTGGCAGCTAAAAGCTTAATTGCTGCACATACAAGCCATTCGAACAAAAAACAATAAAACATTCTGCAAGTCAGTCAGTCGGGATGGGAGCTGACGGACAGATGGTAATCTGGGAGTTGAAACAGATCAGATATTATTCAGAACGGAGGAAGCATTGACGGGATGGGAGCTGACGGACAGATGGTAATCTGGGAGTTGAAACAGATCAGATATTATTCAGAACGGAGGAAGCATTGACGGGATGGGAGCTGACGGACAGATGGTAATCTGGGAGTTGAAACAGATCAGATATTATTCCGAACGGAGGAAGCATTGACGGGATGGGAGCTGACGGACAGATGGTAATCTGGGAGTTGAAACAGATCAGATATTATTCCGAACGGAGGAAGCATTGACGGAGGAATCTCCCTCCTGACTGAAGGAAGCGTTGTTGGCGGCAGGTAGCCCAGCGGTTAAAAGATCGTTGGGCCAGTAACCGCTGGTTCGAATCCTCGAGCCGACTAGGTGAACAATCTGTCGATGTGCCCTTGAGCAAGGCACTTAACCCTAATTGCTCCTGTAAGTCGCTCTGGATAAGAGCGTCTGCTAAATGACTAAAATGAACACGTGAATGGTGTCAGAGGGCGAGACAGTCAAGCTGCTGAGGTGATTGAGCATTAGCTAACGTTAGCTCACACTCTGTGAAGATCTCAAACCACGACAATATTCAATCACTCTGCAAGACTAAAATTAGGTTGATGGTAGTCTTTGCACAATTAATTTGCACTATGAAAATGTCACTATAAATCTATTTCTTTATGTAACCTGATATACCATGATGTACTGTAATGTATAAGGTCCAATGTGTTCGCTGTATAAATTATAGCAGTAGTAGTAGAAGTAGTATGAGCAGTTGATGTAATAGTATTCATTTATTAGTAGTAGACAACGTTGTTGATTTACATGTTGGTTTGTATGAATCTAAGGTATATGGAAGCAGTACTGCATGTTGTGCGGGTGTAAGCAGGTCAAGATTATTAGGATAAGAAGATGCAGAATCTTCAGACCACAAAGTAAAAAAACACATCTTTCCATCAGCATCATGTTTTCATGTGTGGTATTTTACCACATCAGCTTTATATGGCCTTTATATAACCTTTATATAACCGAACCTTTTTCATTTTACTTGATATAACGTTTAATATATAAGGTCCAATGTGTTTGCTGAAAGTCAACAAAGTTAATTGTAAAAGTAGTAGTAGTAGTAGTAGTAGTAGTAGTAGTAGTAGTAGTGGTAGTAGTAGTGGTTTAGTATTTACATGTTTTTTTTATGGTATAGATGATATAGTTGTTTTTATGGTATAGATGATATAGTTGTTTTTATGGTATAGATGATATAGTTGTTTTTATGGTATAGATGATATAGTTGTTTTTATGGTATAGATGATATATTTGTTTTTATGGTATAGATGATATAGTTGTTTTTATGGTATAGATGATCTACAGTGAGGGAAAAAAGTATTTGATCCCCTGCTGATTTTGTACGTTTGCCCACTGACAAAGACATGATCAGTCTATAATTTTAATGGTAGGTTTATTTGAACAGTGAGAGACAGAATAACAATAAAACAATCCAGAAAAACGCATGTCAAAATTTTTATAAATTGATTTGCATTTTAATGAGGGAAATAAGTATTTGACCCCCTCTCAATCAGAAAGATTTCTGGCTCCCAGGTGTCTTTTATACAGGTAACGAGCTGAGATTAGGAGCACACTCTTAAAGGGAGTCAGGAATCTGCCCAGAACTACACGGGAGGATCTTGTCAATGATCTCAAGGCAGCTGGGACCATAGTCACCAAGAAAACAATTGGTAACACGCTACGCCGTGAAGGACTGAAATCCTGCAGCGCCCGCAAGGTCCCCCTGTTCAAGAAAGCACATATACAGGCCCGTCTGAAGTTTGCCAATGAATATCTGAATGATTCAGAGGAGAACTGGGTGAAAGTGTTGTGGTCAGATGAGACCAAAATCGAGCTCTTTGGCATCAACTCAACTCGCCGCGTTTGGAGGAGGAGGAATGCTGCCTATGACCCCAAGAACACCATCCCCACCGTCAAACATGGAGGTGGAAGCATTATGCTTTGGGGGTGTTTTTCTGCTAAGGGGACAGGACAACCTCACTGCATAAAAGGGACAATGGACTGGGCCATGTACCGTCAAATCTTGGGTGAGAACCTCCTTCCCTCAGCCAGGGCATTGAAAATGGGTCGTGGATGGGTATTCCAGCATGACAATGACCCAAAACACATGGCCAAGGCAACAAAGGAGTGGCTCAAGAAGAAGCACATTAAGGTCCTGGAGTGGCCTAGCCAGTCTCCAGACCTTAATCCCATAGAAAATATGTGGAGGGAGCTGAAGGTTTGAGTTGCCAAACGTCAGCCTCGAAACCTTAATGACTTGGAGAAGATCTGCAAAGAGGAGTGGAACAAAATCCCTCCTGAGATGTGTGCAAACCTGGTGGCCAACTACAAGAAACGTCTGACCTCTGTGATTGCCAACAAGGGTTTTGCCACCAAGTACTAAGTCATGTTTTGCAGAGGGGTCAAATACTTATTTCCCTCATTAAAATGCAAATCAATTTATAACATTTTTGACATGCGTTTTTCTGGATCTCTCACTGTTCAAATAAACCTACCATTAAAATTATAGACTGATCATTTCTTTGTCAGTGGGCAAACGTACAAAATCAGCAGGGGATCAAATACTTTTTTCCCCTCACTGTAGTTATTTTTATGGTATAGATTATATAGTTGTTTTTATGGTATAGATTATATAGTTGTTTTTATTATATAGATTATATAGTTGTTTTTATGATATAGATTCAATAGTTTGAGTATGTCAAGAACTGCAACGCTGCTGGGTTTTCACGCTCAACAGTTTCCCGTGTGTATCAAGAATGGTCCACCACCCAAAAGACATGTGGGGGTGCAACTCATTATTAGGAAGGTGATCTTAATGTTTTGTCCACTCAGTGTATATGAACTACAACAAAAGCTTCTCATGGTAGATTGCAACAATCATTACAATCATCATAGCAGCTGTATCAAAGCTGACAGATATTTGACAGTCATTTATTATCTATGTATCTATGGCAGATAAGCCCTAGTCATGACATCATCAACCCGTGACCATCTGTACCCACCACACCCCCCACATCAGACAGTACCACATACACATGATACATATACTCTCTCCTCTTCCTCCTCCATCCACCCCCACATCAGACAGTACCACATACACATGTACATAAATAAACGTATACTCTCTCTCTGTCTCTCTCCCTCCTTCCCCCACAGCAAACGTCCAGGCCTACGTTTTTCGCCCGTAAGTTTGAGGCTAGCGTGAACCAGGAGATTGTTACCCAGCTGGACAGCTTCCTATTTGGCCCTTATCCGCAGGTGGGTGGAACACACAGCGTACACACACACAGAGCACACACACTGCTCCCTGTCCTCCAGGACACCTCAGGGTTCTACTATAACACTGCTCCCTGTCCTCCAGGACACCTCAGGGTTCTACTATAACACTGCTCCCTGTCCTCCAGGACACCTCAGGGTTCTACTATAACACTGCTTCCTGTCCTCCAGGACACCTCAGGGTTCTACTATAACACTGCTCCCTGTCCTCCAGGACACCTCAGGGTTCTACTATAACACTGCTTCCTGTCCTCCAGGACACCTCAGGGTTCTACTATAACACTGCTCCCTGTCCTCCAGGACACCCCAGGGTTCTACTATAACACTGCTCCCTGTCCTCCAGGACACCCCAGGGTTCTACTATAACACTGCTCCCTGTCCTGCAGGACACCTCAGGGTTCTACTATAACACTGCTTCCTGTCCTCCAGGACACCTCAGGGTTCTACTATAACACTGCTCCCTGTCCTGCAGGACACTTCAGGGTTCTACTATAACACTGCTCCCTGTCCTCCAGGACACCCCAGGGTTCTACTATAACACTGCTTCCTGTCCTCCAGGACACCCCAGGGTTCTACTATAACACTGCTCCCTGTCCTGCAGGACACCCCAGGGTTCTACTATAACACTGCTTCCTGTCCTACAGGACACCTCAGGGTTCTACTATAACACTGCTCCCTGTCCTCCAGGACACCTCAGGGTTCTACTATAACACTGCTCCCTGTCCTCCAGGACACCCCAGGGTTCTACTATAACACTGCTTCCTGTCCTCCAGGACACCCCAGGGTTCTACTATAACACTGCTTCCTGTCCTCCAGGACACCTCAGGGTTCTACTATAACACTGCTCCCTGTCCTCCAGGACACCCCAGGGTTCTACTATAACACTGCTTCCTGTCCTCCAGGACACCTCAGGGTTCTACTATAACACTGCTCCCTGTCCTCCAGGACACCCCAGGGTTCTACTATAACACTGCTCCCTGTCCTGCAGGACACCCCAGGGTTCTACTATAACACTGCTTCCTGTCCTCCAGGACACCACAGGGTTCTACTATAACACTGCTCCCTGTCCTCCAGGACACCCCAGGGTTCTACTATAACACTGCTCCCTGTCCTCCAGGACACCCCAGGGTTCTACTATAACACTGCTCCCTGTCCTCCAGGACACCCCAGGGTTCTACTATAACACTACTTCCTGTCCTCCAGGACACCCCAGGGTTCTACTATAACACTACTTCCTGTCCTCCAGGACACCCCAGGGCTCCAGTCGTACTGGGAGAATGTGTATGATGAGACGGACAGCGTAGTCAGCCTATCAGACAGCCAGCTCACTCACTACCACGCCTTCACACGCATGGGCCTATCACGGGCCTCCATGTCACTGCAGGGCCACGCCGACGACGACAGCTGCAGGTCAGTCCGGAAGGTGTGGATGTGTGGGCGCGTGTGTGTGTGTGTGTGTGTGTGTGTGTGTGTGTGTGTACGTTGTGTGTGTGTGAATAACTCCTCAATTCCAAACCAACCCCTAACACCACCCCCTACACACTGGTAGAACAAAAAGGATTGGATAGGGCCTTGTCCAAAACCAACCCCTACTCCCTAGACACTTGTACAGAGCGGAGAAGGTTTGGACAGGTTTAGTAATATGAAATAAAATCCCATCTAGCCTATCAGAGGGACAGGTGGAAAATATCCCCACATTGCTTGTTATACCTCACTGTCTTACAGCCGTCTGCACTGTCACGTTCAAACAATACACCTGTCTGAAGACAATGGATTATACGGTGCCTTCAGAAAGTATTCACACAACTTGACGTTTTCCACATTTTTGTTGTGTTACAGCCTGAATTTAAAATTGAGATGTATTTTTGTCACTGTCCTACACACAATAACAATAACTGATCGTGACACTTCAGTCCTCCAGGAACTCAGAGGAAACTAGGTGAATAGATACGGTGCCTTCAGAAAGTTTTCACACTCCTTTGACTTTTTCACAATTTTGTTGTGTTACAGCCTGAATTTTTTTAAATGGTTGAAATTGAGATTTTTGTCTCACTCACTGTCCCACACACAACACCCCATTGTTGGTTAAGGGCTTGTAAGTAAGCATTTCACGGTAAGGTCTACACCTGTTGTATTCGGCTCATGTGACAAATACAATTTGATTTAATTTGATCTCTGTACCCCACACATACAATTATCTGTAAGGTCCCTCAGTCGAGCAGTGAATTTCAAACACAGATTCAACCACTAAGACCAGGGAGGTTTTCCAATGCCTCACAAAGAAGGGCACCTATTGGTAGATTGGTAAAAATAAAAAAGCAGACATTGAATATCCCTTTGAGCATGGTGCAGTTATTAATTACACTTTGGATGGTGTATCAATACACCCAGTCACTACAAAGATGCAGGCGCCTTTCCAAACTCAGTTGCCGGAGAGGAAGGAAACCGCTCAGGGATTTCACCATGAGACCAATGGTGACTTTAAAACAGCTATAGAGTTTAATGGTTGTAATAGGAGAAAACTGAGGATGGATCAACATTGTAGCTACACCACAATACTAACCTAATTGACAAAAATATTCAAAAACATGCAACCTGTTTGCAATAAGGCAATGAAGTAAACTGCAAATAATGTGGAAAATAAATTCACTTTATGTCCTGAATACAAAGCGTTATGTTTGTGGCAAATCCAACACAACACATCACTGAGTACTGCTCTTCATCATGTTATGGGTCTTCTTGTCATCAGCAAGGACTATGTTTTTTTTTAGGATAAACAGAAACGGAATAGAGCTAAGCACAGTCAAAATCCTAGAGGAAAACCTGGTTCAGTCTGCTTTCCAATAGACACTGGGAGGCAAATTTACCTTTCAGCAGGACAATAATCTAAAACACAAGGCCAAATATACACTGGAGTTGCTTACCAAGACGACAGTGGATGTTCCTGAATGGTTGAGTTACAGTTTTGACTTAAATCTACTTGAGAATCTATGGCAAAACCAGAACATGGTTGTCTAGCAATGATCAACAACCAATTTGACAGAGCTTGAAGAATTTTGAAAATAATAATGGGCAAATATTGTACAATCCAGGTGTGGAAAGCTCTTAGATACTTACCCAGAAAGGCTCACAGCTGTAATCGCTGCCAAAGGTGCAACCACAAAGTATTGACTCAGGGGTGTGAATACTTATGTAAATGAGATATTTCTTCATTTCATTTTCAATACATTTGCAAATATTTCTAAAAACACGTTTTCACTTGGTCATTATAGACTATTGTGTGTAGATGTGTGAGAAATGTTTTTTTAAAAAAAATTTTATACATTTTGAATTCAGGCTTATTCCAAAATGTGGAATAAGTCAAAGGGTATGAATACTTTCTGAAGGCACTGTACCTATCAAAATCCTCTCAGATCTCCACAAGTGACTAAACCAGAGTTTCTTCATCCTGGTCCTGCATGGGGACCCGAACTGGTGAACATTCTAGACACCTGATTCCACTAATCAACTCATCAGACGTCAAACCTTTTGATTAGTGGAATCAGGTGTCTAGAATGTTCACCAGTTCGGGTCCCCATGCAGGACCAGGATGAAGAAACACTGGTTTAGGGTTTAGGGGCTAGGGGTTGATTCTGGACAGGGCCTAGGGTTTAGGGGCTAGGGGTTGATTCTGGACAGGGCCTAGGGTTTAGGGGCTAGGGGTTGATTCTGGACAGAGCCTAGGGTTTAGGAGCTAGGGGTTGATTCTGGACAGGGCCTAGGGTTTAGGGGCTAGGGGTTGATTCTGGACAGGGCCTAGGGTTTAGGGGCTAGTGGTTGATTCTTGACAGGGCCTATGGTTTAGGGGCTAGGGGTTGATTCTTGACAGGGCCTAGGGTTTAGGGCCTATGGTTTAGGGGCTAGTGGTTGATTCTGGACAGGGCCTAGGGTTTAGGGGCTAGGGGTTGATTCTGGACAGGGCCTAGGGTTTAGGGGCTAGGGGTTGATTCTGGACAGGGCCTAGGGTTTAGGGGCTAGGGGTTGATTCTGGACAGGGCCTAGGGTTTAGGGGCTAGGGGTTGATTCTGGACAGGGCCTAGGGTTTAGGGGCTAGGGGTTGATTCTAGACAGGGCCTATGGTTTAGGGGCTAGGGGTTGATTCTGGACAGGGCCTAGGGTTTAGGGGCTAGGGGTTGATTCTGGACAGGGCCTAGGGTTTAGGGGCTAGAGGTTGATTCTGGACAGAGCCTAGGGTTTAGGGGCTAGTGGTTGATTCTGGACAGAGCCTATTGTTTAGGGCCTAGGGTTTAGGGGCTAGGGGTTGATTCTGGACAGGGCCTGGGGTTTGGGGGGTTGGGTGTGTGTGTGTACATTTGGGTGGATGTTTGTGTACATTTGGGTGGATATCTGTGGATATTTGTGTGTGTGTGTATATGTGTGTAACTGTACTGTGTATGTATATATTTGGGGTTTCCCAGGTATATCTCCAGGGGCCACCCGGTGTCTGTCCACCTGTACTTCCTGTCAGACGTGTTCCAAAAAATGCAAACTTTCCACCCTCATAATGTGCAGAATCTCCTGACCACAGAGTTTAAGTAGCCACTTGTTTTTTCCATCATCAACATGTTTTTCTGTGTGGTATTTGACCACCTCTGCTCTGCTCTGACACTTCAGTCCTTCAGCTACTCAGAGGAAACCAGATCTCATCATTACCAGGGTAGGAGCTAGGTGTTATCTAGCAGAGGAAACCAGATCTCATCATTACCAGGGTAGGAGCTAGGTGTTATCTAGGGATCATTGCTCGCATCCCAAATAGCACCCTATTCCCTATGGGCTCTGGTCAAAAGTAGTGTACTACAGTATGGAATAGGGTGCTATTTGGGATGCAGCCTCTATGGCTGCGTTTACACAGGTAGCCCAATTCAGATATTTTTTTCCCCTAATTGGTGGAAGATCAGATCAGATTGTGAAAAGATCAGATGTGATCGGTCAAAAGACCAATTAGTGGAAAAGATATCTGAATTGGGCTGTCTATGTAAATGCAGCCTAAAGTGCAGAGAAATATCTCTCTCTCTCTCTCTCTCTGTCTGTCTGTATGTCTGCCTTTCTATCTGTCTGTCTGTCTGTCTGTCTGCGTAGGTGCGTGTGTGTGTGTATGTGTGTGTATGTTGCAAGAGGTCCAAATCAAATATGGAGATTAACTTGTTACATTTAGACAAACAGGCCTCAGTCTCTCAGACTGGCTTTTTCCAGTCGTATAAGTAGTGGGGAGGACTGTGTGTGTAGGTTCTGGGTGCGGTGTGTACACAGGCACAAGGACACACTTGTTGCTGGTTGGGTGTGTATGGGGGGGGGGGGGGGGGGGGGGTTGAGAATAGAGTGATCTCTCTGTTCCTCACAAGCTCCTGTGACTCCAGCTTAGTTAGCTCTGACGTGTGTTTGATACCATCAAGTGAACATGACTGTGTCTGCGTACATTAGGGTGGATGTGTTGTGGAAATTACCACAAAGGATTTACTGTGGATATTTGGGTGGATGTCTGTCTACATTTGGGTGGTTGTCTGTGGATATTTGGGTGGATATCTGTGGATATTTGGGTGTGTGTGTATATGTGTGTAACTGTACTGTGTATGTATATATTTGGGGTTTCCCAGGTATATCTCCAGGGGCCACCCAGTGTCTGTCCACCTGTACTTCCTGTCAGACGTGTTCCAAGGCTACCTGGTTCGTCAATACGCTAGTAACCTAGCAACCAGCCAGCTAGAGACCCTAGAGACTTGGGTCACCCATAGCAACCACTTCACCCTGGCCCTGACAACGAAAACACTCAACAGACTACAGTTCGCAGAGGTGAGACACACACGCCCGCACACACACACATACACACACATACACACTTTAAATGTAACCTTCTGCAAACATCTGCAGCCTCTAGCATCCCTGATCCCTGGTACCTGGGAGAGAGATAGATGGTGGTTCTGTCCATGCTGAAACAGGCTCTGAGTTACTAGTTGTTAAGTGTCTTTATTGGCAGGTTGCTGCTGCCCCCTAGGGATGACATGTGGTACTGGATGTGTCCTGTCACGTTATAGCTGAAATACTAATTAAAATTACCATTTGTTAACAGGCAAGTCGTAAAAAAAATAGTGTAGTGCACAGGGTGTCATTCAGGGGACTGTGTTTTCCCCTGGTTAGTCTGCTGTAAATCCTTCACTTCTCTCACTCTCTCTTCTTCAATCTACAGTATCTCCATATTCATTCAAATCAATCCTCTGTTTATTGATCTCTCTCAATATATATGTATCTTTCTCTGTCCCCCTCCCTCCCTCCCTATCCCCCCTGCTCCTCCCAACCCACCCCTCCTCCTCTCAGGTGGGTACAGACTGGGACGCCAAAGAGAGAATCTTCAGGAACTTCGGAAGCCTCCTGGGCCCCATGGAGGAGCCGGTTGCCATGCAACGCTGGGGCCGGGGGCAGAACATCACGGTAACCGTCGTCTGGGTGGACCCCACCAACGTCATAGCCGCCACGTACGACATCCTGGTGGACGGCGGGGCAGAGTACACACACTACCGCCCCCCGTTAACCCTCCCGTTACGACCCGGTGTGTGGACGCTACGCGTTCTGCATCACTGGAACCTACTAGCCTCCACCAGCTTTGTGGTTTCACCCCTGGAGTACCACGACCAGCAACCTATACGCCAGGGTAAACACACACACACACACACACACACAGCTAAGCACTTGGACACACACACGCGCGCGCACACACACACACACACACACACACAATCATAGCGCTCAAAGGCATTCTCTGCCTCTGCTGTCAACACGAGGCCTATAGATAAATATAGCACCCAGTCACGTATTAACCCACACACACACACCTCTGTCTGAATATAGGTGCTGTGGGGAAATGTCCATGATGTGTGGGTACAGTAGGTGTGTGGGTACAGTAGGTGTGTGGGTACAGTAGGTGTGTGGGTACAGTGGAATTCTCAACTTCACCTCTAGGACTGACACTGGAATGATCACTAGAACCTGGACACCTCCCCTACATACAGTGCCATCGGAAAGTATTCAGACCCCTTGACTTTTTCCACATTTTGTTACGTTACAGCCTTATTCTAAAATGGATTAAGTAAACGTTTTTTCCTAATCAATCTACACTCAATACCCCATAATGACAAAGCAAAAACTGGTTTTTAGAAATGTTTGCAAATGTATTACAAAAAAAAAACTGAAATACCTTATTTACATAAGTATTCAGACCCTTTGCTATGAGACTCGAAATTGAGCTCAGGTGCATCCTGTTTCCAGTGATCATCCTTGAGATTTTTCTACAACTTGATTGGAGTCCACCTGTGGTAAATTCAATTGATTGGACATGATTTGGAAAGGCACACACCTGTCTATAGAGCTTCGAAACAGGATTGTGTCGAGGCACAGATCTGGGGAAGGGTACCAAAACATTTCTGCAGCATTGAAGGTCCCCAAGAACACAGTGGCCTCCATCATTCTTAAATGGAAGAAGTTTGGAACCACCAAGACTCTTCCTAGAGCTGGCCGCCTGGCCAAACTGAGCAATCGGGGGAGAAGGGCCTTGGTCAGGGTGGTGACCAAGAACCCGATGGTCACTCTGACAGAGCTCTAGAGTTCCTCTGTGGAGATGGGAGAACCTTCCAGAAGGACAAACATCTCTGCAGCACTCCACCAATCAAGCCTTTATGGTAGAGTGGCCAGAAGGAAGCCACTCCTCAGTAAAAGGCACATGACAGCCCGCTTGGAGTTTGCCAAAAGGCACCTAAAGACTCTCAGACCATGAGAAACAAGATTCTCTGGTCTGATGAAACCAAGATTGAACTGAATGCCAAGCATCACATCTGGAAGAAACCTGGCACCATCCCCACTGTGAAGCATGGTGGTGGCAGCATCATGCTGTGGGGATGTTTTTCAGCGGCAGGGACTGGAAGACTAGTCAGAATCGAAGCAAAGATGAACGGCGCAAAGTACAGTGAGATCCTTGATGAAAACCTGCTCCAGAGCGGTCAGGACCTCAGACTGGGGCGAAGGTTGACCTTCCAACAGGACAACGGCCCTAAGCACACAGCCAAGACAACGCAGGAGTGGCTTCGGGACAAGTCTCTGAATGTCCTTGAGTGGCCCAGCCAGAGCCCGGACTTGAACCTGATCGAACATCTCTGGAGAGACCTGAAAATAGCTGTGCAGCAACGCTCCCCATCCAACCTGACAGAGCTTGAGAGGATCTGCAGAGAAGAATGGGAGAAACTCCCCAAATACAGGTGTGCCAAACTTGTAGCGTCATACCCAAGAAAACTTGATGCTGTCATCACTGCCAAAGGTGCTTCAACAAAGTACTAAAGTTCTGAATTCTTATGTAAATGTGATATTTCAGTTTTTTATTTGTAATAAATAGCTAAAATAAAAAATTAAACAGTTTTTGCTTTGTCATTGTGGGGTATTATGTGTAGATTGATGAGGGGAAAAAACGATTTAATCAATTTTAGAGTAACAAAATGTGGAAAAAGTCAAGAGGTCTGAATACTTTCTGAATGCACTGTACATCACCTGGAACACACAAACACAACACCACACACACACACAACACCACACACACACACACAACACCACACACACACAACACCACACACAACACACACACACACATTCACAGTAAACGCATTCACAGCTACGCATGTTGGCTCGCTTTTGAATGACAGGCATTAGCAACAACATCAATGCTAATTCTTTCTATAATCATTAGCGCTTTCTGTCACCGATATGTCACCTTGGGATAGTAAGAAAGAGTCTGTGACACACAGCCTCTCACAACACCGCCAGAACATCTGCTATGTGGATGTCTGCCAACGCTGGTTAATGCTGGTTAACACTCAACCTGATTTAATCTTCATTTAATAAATAACAATACTAGAACATTGATATAAACATTATTACATAAATTCTCTTCTTTTCTAGCTCATTGTTTGACACAAAGGCCTATCCTGTAACTCCTAGATGGAATTTATATAGAGTATCTCCCTCTCTCCCTCGCCCTCCCTACCTCTCTCCATCACCCTTCTCCCCCCTCCCTACCTCTCTCACCTCCCTCACTCCCTCTCCCTCTCCCCCCCTTACCTCCCTCCCTCCCCCCTCTCTAGAAGACACAGTGAAGTTCCACAACGGCCCGGTCCATAACTCCTACATGGAGCAGAGTTTCCACGGCCTCAACCCCATCCTCAACCTCCCCGTGCACCTAGGACAGGTGGAGGAGGCGGAGTTTAACGCATCACTGACGGGGGCGGAGCTCCAGAGCTGGGTGGACCGTCTCCTGGCGGGGGTGTGGTCTGCGGCAGACGTGTGTTCTCAGGGTCCTAGCTCGTGTCCCGTTATGCAGCGGTGTCGGGAGACGGGATGGAGCGCGCTCAGTCCCGACCTCAAGTCTGATCTGGGTCCGCCCCGAGGGAACGGACGGATTAGGTAGCACCGTCGCCACGGCTACTGCTGCAGCCACTCGATGGCTTGGAGGATGAACTGACAGGAAACGTTTTTGTGTGTTGTGCACCATAGCTATCGTGAGATGGTCTGCTGTGTCCCAAATTGCTCCCCCCTATATACTGAGTGTACAAAACATTAAGAACACCTGTTCTTTCCATGACATAGACTGACCAGGTGAAAGCTATGATCCCTTATTGATGTCACTTGTTAAATCCACTTCAATCAGTGTAGATGAAGGGGAGGAGACAGGTTAAAGAAGGGTTTTTAAGCCTTGAGACAATTGAGACATGGATTGTGTATGCTGGGTTTTTCATGCTCAACAGTTTCCTGTGTGTATTAAGAATGGTCCACCACCCAAAGGACATCCAGCCAACTTGACACAAATGTGGGAAGCGTTGGTGTCGACATGGGCCAGCATCCCTGTGGAACGCTTTCAACAGCCAACGAATTGAGGCTGTTCTGAGGGCAAAAGGGGGGGTGCAACTCAATATTAGAGAGCTGTTCTTAATCAAATCAAATCCAATTTTATTGGCCACATGCGCCGAATACAACAGGTGTAGACATTACAGTGAAATGCTTACTTACAAGCCCTTAACCAACAATGCATTTATTTTTTAATAGAAAAGTAAAATAAAACAACAACAACAACAAAAAAGTGTTGAGAAAAAAAGAACAGAAGTCAAATAAAATAACAGTAGGGAGGCTATATACAGGGGGGTACCGGTGCAGAGTCAATGTGCGGGGGCACCGGCTAGTTGAGGTAATTGAGGTAATATGTACATGTGGGTAGAGTTAAAGTGACTATGCATAAATAATTAACAGAGTAGCAGCAGCAATGTGTTGTACACTCAGTGACTAGTGCACTAACATAGGGCTCTGGTCAGAAGTAGTGCACTATATAGGGAACAGGGTGCCATTTGGGACGCAGACGTGGTGTTTGGGTATGGGAGAAGATTGAATGCATTGGATTACTGTGTGAACCCTGTCAACACCAAACATGGCGTAACTCAGGAGCTGGGTAGTAAAGAAGGTTAGAAGGAAAGCCGTAGACTGACACCAAGAAGAAATTAGATAAGGGGCAAGACATCTTCAGCATCAGGTGGCGCCACCTGCTGTCTGGGAGGCTAAACTGACTCTAGGATTAGTTCCATTTGATTTATTGATTTGTGTGTCCAAAATGGCACCCTTTTCCCTATGTAGTTTACTACTTTTGACCAGTGCCCTAAGGGGAATAGGGTGCTATTTGGGACACAACCTCATGCCTGGAGAAGAAGATGGAGGAAGTGTACACGACGCCGCCCTCTGAAAGGAAGGAGAGGAGGTGGACACGACGCCGCCCTCTGAAAGGAAGATGGAGGAAGTGGACACGACGCCGCCCTCTGAAAGGAAGACGGAGGAAGTGGACACGACACCGCCCTCTGAAAGGAAGATGGAGGAAGTGGACACGACGCCGCCCTCTTAAAGGAAGATGGAGGAAGTGGACACGACGCCGCCCTCTGAAAGGAAGATGGAGGAAGTGGACACGACGCCGCCCTCTGAAAGGAAGATGGAGGAAGTGGACACGACGCCGCCCTCTGAAAGGAAGGAGAGGAAGTGGACACGACGCCGCCCTCTGAAAGGAAGGAGAGGAAGTGGACACGACGCCGCCCTCTGAAAGGAAGGAGAGGAAGTGGACATGACGCCGCCCTCTGAAAGGAAGATGGAGGAAGTGGACACGACACCGCCCTCTGAAAGGAAGGAGAGGAAGTGGACACGACGCCGCCCTCTGAAAGGAAGATGGAGGAAGTGGACACGACGCCGCCCTCTGAAAGGAAGATGGAGGAAGTGGACACGACGCCGCCCTCTGAAAGGAAGGAGAGGAAGACAAGAAGAGAGAGACGGAAGGAGGAGTGAAAATACCTCCATATTCTAATTTATTCTTCTCTGAGCCCCTACTGAACTCATCTGGACTAAGTGTGTGTGTGTGTGTGTGTGTGCACGAGCGCGTGTGGGTTTTCTTCTGTGCCATGTCTGGATCTCTGCAGGTTATCGTGTGTGGGACCAGACCTCAGCCATGCTGGATCACAAAGGGGGTGCGTCACAATATCTCATTTCTCCTGAAGTGTACACTCGTTCACTACTTTCCACTAATCTAAAAGCAGAGACATCGGCTAGTGGGGGTTTCCACTGTATTTCTGATTACCAGTCATTTCCTTCAAACCAGTGAAGGGAAGTGAACAAGTGCACACTGGGAGGAAGGAGATATAATTGGCATGTACAGTGACCAGGGATTGTATTAATCTCTGTCTATCCAGTAGAACTCTCTACCCTTCATGACCGTACAATTCTAAGTTAAACTATTTATTCAAGTTCATTATCATGAAATCGTTTTTTGTTGTTGTTGTTGTAAATGACTGACGTTGACATTCTGCATCCCAAACGGCATCCTGTTCACCTACATACTGCCTCTGGGCGCTGGTCAAAAGTAGTGCACTATATAAGGAATAGAGTGCTGTTTGGGAGGCAGACATGCTGGGGTTTTTTTTGCACATGGCAGAGAACCTGCTGTCTTTAATTTCCAAAGGCCCTCAACCCCCTGTTGTCATGACAGCAGACATGTTGTTCTGTTCAGGGCTGCATCTCAATACTCTAAAGAGGCTTAAAGGGATACTTTGGCAATGAGGCCTGCTAGCATGCTAGCAGATACCCATAGACTTCCAGTCATTGTGCTAATGCTAGTTAGCATTGGTTTTGCGAAAAGACCTGTAACTGGACACAGAGACATAACAATAGTATCCAGGATTTCATTGGACTCTGGGGAAGTAGATAAAGGGCCAGAATCATTGCCAGAATCCTGAAGTATCCCTTTAAGGGAAATAAGTGAGGAGAGGAGCTTGAGGCGAGGAAGCCTCCTCTGTAGACTATTGAGACGCAGCCCTGTGACTATGGTCTACTGCCACCCAGAGGCCACGTCCCAAATGACACCCAATTCTCTATATAGTGGAACTACTTTTGACCAGAAAACTATGGGCCCTTTTCCCTATATTGGTACACTACTTGACCAGAGCCCTGTGGGTACATTGTACTGCCACACAGTCAGTAGCTGGTTATACAGTCAGTAGCTGGTTATGCAGTCAGTAGCTGGTTATACAGTCAGTAGCTGGTTATACAGTCAGTAGCTGGTTATACAGTCAGTAGCTGGTTATACAGTCAGTAGCTGGTTATACAGTCAGTAGCTGGTTACACAGTCAGTAGCTGGTTACACAGTCAGTAGCTGGTTATACAGTCAGTAGCTGGTTACACAGTCAGTAACTGGTTATACAGTCAGTAGCTGGTTACACAGTCAGTAGCTGGTTATACAGTCAGTAGCTGGTTACACAGTCAGTAGCTGGTTACACAGTCAGTAGCTGGTTACACAGTCAGTAGCTGGTTATACAGTCATACAGTCAGTAGCTGGTTACACAGTCAGTAGCTGGTTAAACAGTCAGTAACTGGTTACACAGTCAGTAGCTGGTTATACAGTCAGTAGCTGGTTATACAGTCAGTAGCTGGTTACACAGTCAGTAGCTGGTTATACAGTCAGTAGCTGGTAACACAGTCAGTAGCTGGTTAAACAGTCAGTAACTGGTTACACAGTCAGTAGCTGGTTATACAGTCAGTAGCTGGTTACACAGTCAGTAGCTGGTTACACAGTCAGTAGCTGGCAACACGCTTGTGTGATGCGCAACCTTGCTTGGGCTTTAGCTCAGCAGGCTAACACAGTTTTGCAGCGTGCAGTCGACCAAGGTTAAGGCTAAATTACGTTGCCACGAGCAGCACCGCAGATATTGAAATGCAATACTTCTCTCTCACACAGTATCTGCGCATGTGCACGGGTTCGCTTCACACTGTCCACAGCCTGGTAGCCACGGGTCCAAAACAGCAGAGAAGTTGAGAGTCACGCGTCTACCTTTAAATTAAACTTATTTAATAAAATATTCCGCAGATGTTTTTATGATGTACAATAGCTATTTTAGTATGAATTATTTAAAAACTAAATGTAAATATGTATTTTGTAACGTTAGATGTTTTTTTAAAGTATAGTTTATAACATTAAGTTATGGAAAAGTGTCTAACAAAATGGATGGAGAAAAATACTTTGTATTCGTTCAAATGGCACCCTATTCCCTATATAGTACACTACCCCATAGGGCTCCGGTCGAAAGTAGTGTACTATATAGGGAATAGGGTGCCATTTGGGTCGGAGGCTCTTAACTACAAGTCACGTGACTGTTTGAAAGAGCCGTGTAAGATGTTATGGTGACTATGTTGTCTGGCTGTTATGATAGTGGTGACATGACATTAGCTCAACGTTGGTTAGCCTCTCTTTGTTTCTCTTTCTCTCAGCAATGATTTTCCTCTCTCCCCTCCCCTCTCTCCCCCTCATCTCCCCTCCCCCTCCCTCCCCTCTCTTCCCCCTCCCCCTCTCTCTCCCCCCTCCCCTCTCTCTCCTCCTCTCCCCTCTCTCTCCCCTCCCTCCCCCCTCCCTATGAGGGGTGGTGGGCTGTGCCTTAGCTGTCCTCCTGTCCAAGGGCTCTATTCAATCCATATTGCTGAAGTTCAGCGTTACGGCGTGATTGAAATTTAAAGGCAATGTTCGTTAGCGGAGACTGCATTCATGGTTAAACGCTGCATATGTCGGCTCAATTGGAAATTACCTTAACATTTCTATCACGCATTCTGTAACACTTCAGTGATTCAGATTGAATATAGCCCTAATGCTGGGATTCAATCAAAGGTGCATTCTGTCTGCGGAGATAGCATTTGCCGTAAACGCTACGGATGTCGGCTCAAGCGTAAATGACCTGTAAAAGTCAAGTACAGTGATGTTGTTGACAATGCGCCTTTGATTGAATCCCGGTCTGAGTTCATTCTCAACCTTCTGTCTGTGACAAACAAACACTTGTGATGTTGTTGATGCCTTCTGGATGACCTTGTTGGTTTGGGTCGACATTTATAAATAAATCATCTTGATTTCAGTCGCCAGTCAGTTATTTAATCAGTCAGTCAGCCAACCAATCAGCCAGTCAGTCAGTTATTTAATCAGTCAGCCAGTCAGTCAGTTATTTAATCAGTCAGTCAGCCAGTCAGTTATTTCATCAGTCAGTCAGCCAACCAATCAGCCAGCCAGTCAGTTATTTAATCAGTCAGTCAGCCAACCAATCAGCCAGTCAGTCAGTTATTTAAATCAGCCAGTAAGTCAGTCAGCCAGCCAGTCAGTGAGTCAGCTATTTAATCAGCCAGTCAGTTATTTAATCAGCCAGTAAGTCAGTTATGTAATCAGTCAGCCAGTCAGTTATTTAATCAGTCAGTCAGTTATTTAATCAGCCAGTGATTCAGTTATGTAATCAGTCAGCCAGTCAGTTATTTAATCAGCTAGTCAGTTATTTAATCAGCCAGTCAGTCAGTCAGTTATTTAATCAGTCAGTCAGCCAGTCAGCCAGTCAGTTATTTAATCAGTCAGTCAGTCAGTCAGTTATTTAATCAGTCAGTCAGCCAGTCAGTTATTTAATCAGTCAGTCAGCCAGTCAGTTATTTAATCAGTCAGTCAGCCAGTCAGTTATTTAATCAGTCAGTCAGCCAGTCAGCCAGTCAGTTATTTAATCAGTCAGTCAGTCAGTCAGTTATTTAATCAGTCAGTCAGTCAGTCAGTTATTTAATCAGTCAGTCAGCCAGTCAGCCAGTCAGTTATTTAATCAGTCAGTCAGTCAGTCAGTTATTTAATCAGTCAGTCAGCCAGTCAGCCAGTCAGTTATTTAATCAGTCAGTCAGCCAGTCAGTTATTTAATCAGTCAGTCAGTCAGTCAGTTATTTAATCAGTCAGTCAGCCAGTCAGTCAGTCAGTTATTTAATCAGTCAGTCAGCCAGTCAGCCAGTCAGTTATTTAATCAGTCAGTCAGTCAGTCAGTTATTTAATCAGTCAGTCAGCCAGTCAGTCAGTCAGTTATTTAATCAGTCAGTCAGTCAGCCAGTCAGTTATTTAATCAGTCAGTCAGCCAGTCAGTCAGTCAGTTATTTAATCAGTCAGTCAGCCAGTCAGTTATTTAATCAGTCAGTCAGCCAGTCAGTTATTTAATCAGTCAGTCAGCCAGTCAGTTATTTAATCAGTCAGTCAGCCAGTCAGTTATTTAATCAGTCAGTCAGCCAGTCAGTTATTTAATCAGTCAGTCAGCCAGTCAGTTATTTAATCAGTCAGTCAGCCAGTCAGTTATTTAATCAGTCAGTCAGCCAGTCAGTTATTTAATCAGTCAGTCAGCCAGTCAGTTATTTAATCAGTCAGTCAGCCAGTCAGTTATTTAATCAGCCAGTCAGCCAGTCAGTCAGTCAGTTATTTAATCAGTCAGTCAGCCAGTCAGTTATTTAATCAGTCAGTCAGCCAGTCAGTCAGTCAGTTATTTAATCAGTCAGTCAGCCAGTCAGTTAGTCAGTTATTTAATCAGTCAG